GCATATCTTCCCTAATTTCTTTGGCCTTCATATGTCACTCTTCCCCTATATAACGTTTGAAATCATCTTTCTTTTCTTACCGACAATCCCGTTCTCATTATCTTTTTCATCTTTCTATTTTCTAATCTAAAATAATGTTCATTCTTTATTTCTTGTTTTCTCAATGAATGCAAATTATGATTTGTCATAACTCTTCTTCATCTCTCCTTCACCTCTCTCTCTCTTTCTCTCTCTCTCTCTCTCTCTCTCTCTTTCTCTCTCTCTCTCTCTCTGTTTCTCTTCCACGTTATATTTACAATGGATGCTCTGAAAGTAATCTCTCTTATTTGTTTCCATGGAAACCACAACAGAAATCTGGGAGAACAGTAATACTGTTGGAAAGGATAAGTTTCGACGTCGAATGCCCCCCCCACATCGTTACTACCTCTGTCGATGTATTTTCGCCAGGTATTAGTAAAAATTCTTCATTTCGTAGTTTGACAGCTGTGCAGCGCCAACCAGATTGTGGCATCACGCAGCTCTCTTTGTCATCACTATTGAAACGAATTACGCGCCGCCTACCGGTGCTCACGTCTTGACCTCTGTAAATGTTCTGAAACCGTTTATAAACCTTAATTTGTCCAATTTTTCCCTTCGGCGGAATATTTCGTTGACGCACATTTTTCCTGTCAGGCAACATTTTACCAGACTGCCGCCCTACTTCTATCAATAACAACGCAAAAGAAACTAGTTGGAAGCAAAAATGAACTCCATCAGCCTAATGAGCCATATAACAAAACTTGATGAATAGATTGAATATAAATATATTCATGCAATTGTTCTAATGAGCTTACGTCCTTGGAACCGAGAGCGAATGAATTTAAGTGCATTACTAGATTGGCAGGTAGGTCTCATTGTTTTACTCTTGAAATAGCTAGGTGTAAACGTAACATATTCTAATACTTTCTGTATTTTACTTCTCGTTTGTTGATCTCTCTTCTGGCTTCTTGTTTTCCTGCCGCTTACGATCTTCAAAATAAATCTCTCACCAACTCCTACCTTTCTGAATCCTGATCTTTTATTATCCTCTCTTCTCACTATAGTCATTCGCTTTCACTCACAGTAATCCCTGGCATCCTCGTGGCATTATCGCCTTTCTTTTGGGGCGAGATACTCGTAAACACTAGGTATCTAATCCCAATTGAAAGTGCATGCTGTTTGGGACTGATCGCTACATCTCGTGTTTTTCGAAACAATTTTACAGTATTCCATTCAATGTTCCCCAGATGAGATATAAGTTACTGAATTTTCACGAATTTTTTTCAGGTAGATTGGAGTCGCGTGCAGCCCTCTTCATACATGTCACATCCAGTCTATATACCTCAGTTTTCTTGGAATTACTCCTCCTGAATTCTGCGTTGGCCAGGTAATCTCGCACTAAAATTAACACGTGATCTCATCGAATTATTCTAATTGAATCCTAAGTTTATCTCTTGTTAATTCGTTATTAATGTTTCCTACAAGTTAAAATGGTGTATCAAAAGGATTGTTATTCCCTTGACATCGAAAATAATATATATATATATATATATATATATATATATATATATATATATATATATATATAAAGAAAAGAAAGAAAGAAAGAACAGTAAGATATATAATCCGGTGTTCTTACAGGTATTTTTTATTTTTACAAAATAGTGCTCGATGTAAATTTACAGAGCATTAATATTATAAATTAATTGATTTAAAATGTGTTTTTTTTTCGCTACACAGTTCTAACCATGTTTCAATAATGGAAGCTAAAAGCCACGAATTTAATTTTGTAATTAAATTAAAGACATTAGTTCCATTTCATCCTCAATCGCTATGATGAATTTGAATAAATGATTCTATCAGAAATAACTAGCTTTTCTTAAAAGAACTTAAGTATATTCTCAAGATATCTTACCTCGTAAATTCCTCTCAATTTGTTTTGGTAAATCCAAATTTATTCCTGAAATAGAAATATGAAGGATTGAAATAATAATAATAATAATAATATGGGAAGCCAAAAATTTCAAAAGGGAATTTCAAGTCGATGAAGAAGTGCAAGATCGTAATACACCAACTGCAGCGACAAAACCCTAAAAAAGAAAGCAAAAGAAAATACAGTATATCAAATTCAGAAAAAATGGCAAGATAAGCCTCTTCATGGTCAATACTCTACCCTTACCTGACTAGCTGATATAGATAAACCTCATACCCATCAGTGGTTACATAGTGCAGAGTTAAAGTCTGAAACGGAAGGTTTTATTCTTGCTCCGCAGGACCAATGCTTACTAACTAGATATTACCAAGATCACATACTGAAAAAAAACTGTGTTAGCCCAAAATACAGATTCTTTGATAAATATCCAAAAACAGTTGACCATCTTGTATCAGGTTGCACTGTAATGTCATCCACTGAATATAAAACCTGGAATGGCAGAGTCGGCTAATAAATGCATTGGAAAATATGCAAGTTTTACGGAAAGGAAACTGCAAGAAACTGGTATGAACACCATCCAGACTCAGTTACGGAGACAGGACCTGTAACAATTTTATGGGACTTTACTATACACACAAACAGAACAATCAAAGCTAATAACCCAGACATCGGAATCAAAGACCACAAAAACAGAATGTTCTTTCTTATTGACATAGCAACCCCTGTAAATTGTAATGTATCTTTGAAGATCTTAAAAAAAAAACAATCAAAATATAACGACCCTGAAGCGGAAATCTCAAAGATGTAACACATGAAGATATCAATAATTCCAATTGGAGCCGTTGGATTTGATTGGCAAAGGTTCCAATAGAAGAAAAGAAGCGATTCTTAGTGGCCCATTCCTTAAAGAAATGAAAAAACAATTCACTCACAAATACGGATCACACATTACGAAAAACTTTACCTATGTAAAATGTGTGATCTTTCTTTTTATTAATGATTATTGGAAAATGTCATGAAGCCATTCATTTTTCTGATTGGAAATGTGTATACAACAGAAATCAAAGGAAATAATAATGGGAAATATGGATTTATTTTTCCTGCTCATCTAATAAAAAACTTGGACAGTGCAAAAAAATAGTGTATCAAAAGGATTGTTGTTCCCTTGACATCGAAAATACTATATTATATATATATATATATATATATATATATATATATATATATATATATATATATATACGTGCATGTTTCATTAAAGACGACAGACAAGTTACTACGGTTAAGCTTTTTATTTAATTTTTCTTGTGACCGAACAAGAGCTTTCTTTTCTGGACAAATGGTGTGTAAAAACTGTTCAAATGTTTCATAATTCCGAGCACTTTCGGCTATACCTTTAGCCATTATCAAGGATGATTCGACTTTTCAGCTTAATTGATTGTGTGCATTATGTGTATGTTTTAGTGTATAGTCGGGATGTTTTAATTTCCGAATACGGTTAGCACACTGTGGCTTTGTTTGTAGTTAATATTGTTAAGAGTTGGCTTTTTCTTTTTTATTATTAAAGCTTCCATTTTTTTTAATCTTTTTTTTTTTACAAGTGGATGAAGTTATTATATTTGTATTTTCTACTAGTATGTCTCTAATGGAGTCTGGTAAGTTAATGTGTGTGTTTAAATGGGTTCTAATGGAGCTGTGATCAGATAGGTGTAATGTAAGGTGTCTGGATAAGCATGTAGTTGTGTAACCGATGTAATTATTTATGAGTCCGTTTTGATCAGGAACACAATTCCTTTAGGGGCATTTAAACTCATAGATAATGACCCGAATAAAAAAATCAAATTATTTATCTATTATAAAAATTTAAAGACAGCTAACCTTATCCTCAAAAATAACAACACCCCAGTTAAGTCAAAATTATAAAGAACGAACATTATCTATGAGTTCAAATATATATATATATATATATATATATATATATATATATATATATATATATATATATATATATACTTTTGACTCCATCGTCAATATTTATTTACAAGGTTGTAAAAATGTTTTAAGCAAGTCCAATGCAATATTTATTATTTATATTTCATAAAAGTATATTTACCATTTTATAGAGAAATAAATTTGAAAATAAATCTTTTTATTCAATAATGTATAAAGAATTACCTTATTATCAAAATATGTATACCAACTACAATGTAATATTTATTCTTTACCATTTGATAAATAACTACGAAAACATTGTTTTTTATTCAGTCTAATAAATAAATAGCATTTAATATCTTTGTTGTCCATGCACAAGAATAAAGGAAATGTACAAGTTCATATTCATATGTTTTGGATTTATTAAAATTTTAATCATCGCTTTTAAAACAATCCATATTCACAAGGGAGCCGTTTCTTTTTCTTTTTTTAATTCAAATTGAACTTTAATATTTACTTGTAACTATATCAATTTCCTTATTTCCTTTTTAAAATGATGTATTTAAAGTTATAAATTAAAAGAATTTACTTCGCAATGTGGCGATGAAATCAGGTATATCAGATCATGTATTAATGAACATAACGAGTACACTGCTGTAGTTGAGGTTAGTAAATGAAAAAAAAATGTCCACCAGAATTACTCAAAGTGAAAAATTCATCGTATATGGTACTAGGGACATAACCGGTTAGAACCGTCTAGTGTAGAACACCGAGCAGACTATTAATAAAGTAAAACAGACACATAGTTCTTGATTAATTTTGTTTCGACATAATAAGGTATAAGTGCTCTAAAAATACAAAGCTCTGTCCGAAACTACTATACACATCAGCAGGGGACCGGCGAGAAAACCAGACAAAACTTTGAAAAGTACAGATTAGGGTGTGAACCGGAACAAATAAAAAGACAATAATACCCGTTGAAGAATTTCTAACAAGATAAAAATAAAGTTATTGGGATGAAATGATTACGCTATGCAACTTATATATAAATAATTGAGTGTACAATATTTCAATAAAATTTAAGTCTTTTCAAAAGGGGTTCGTAATTATGCTCTTA